GTGAAAATATACCTATATATACCGCGTAAATCGCGGCGATCGCGAAGGCGCGCGTGAGAAAATCGGTAGCGCGACGCGAAGGTGTCATTGAGGGGGCCAAGGATAAGAATATTCTTCTTAGACGAGAGTCGAGAGCGGGGCTCGCCCTGCCGCTGCGCCGTGCACGTACGTACGTAATCGCAGCCTTGGTCAGTCGCGACACGTAACGTAACTCATTCGATGAGTCATAACTGAGGCTGGGTCTAGCTGATCTTGAGTGGACTCATGGGCTGCGTAATGCGTACGATTTCCTGTATTCTTGCTTGCTTCTAATGAATAAATCTAACGAAAACCGGTGGCACGTGCATCGCGTTCTGCAATGAACAGCCCTGAACAGCGTTCGTAATACGCGCCAACCACTGATTATATTCTTTTTCTTGTTGTTTTTTTCTTTTGCCCGCAAGGTTGAGTAATCATTTTTATGCATAATCAATCGGCTGCGCTAGGCGTAAATAGATCGCATCGACGTTAAAATCACGCAGGTGTAACGGATTTAACAAGCCCGATTGAATCTCAGGAATTTTTCCTGCTCGGACTGGGTGTGATCCTCTTCGGGATAGTCGGCGCCTTGTCGCTCGCCTCTATCGACAGCGTCCCTGAGGATTTAGTTGACAATGCCGCGGTTTTAGGAGCGCTCTGCTTGCTCACAGCATTGGTGTTCATCGGAGATCTGCTGATGAGCCCGCCTCGTACGAAGAACAAGCAAGACCAAGCACGAATCATCGAGAAAGATTTGGGTACGATTGTTAGAAAAATTATTAGATTACTAATTTTTTTATAAAATTTGGCTTTATATAATATGGTATTTATTATATTATTTCACTCTTAATTATTTTATTAAATGTGATGTATATGCAGTACGTATATATACCAAATTCACTGCTTTAAAGACGAAAATAATATAATAAAATAATTTATGTTTTCAAAACAGTGAATTTATTTTTGTAAAGCAGTGAATTTGTATAATTAAAACAGAGGATTATTTTTAGGAATTAATTGATGATTGAACATAGCGATTGATCACAGCGCATGGTCATATCGATACATTTACCGATATATTTAGTCAGTATAACAGATTTCCTAATCTCAATACTTTCTTCAACTTTAATGCTTAATACCTCGGTTCGCGAGGCAAAGCGACGTTCATTTCTGCCAAATTGTACAATTACCGCTTATTACACGCATCCATAGATAGTGGATTGCATTCTGAAAAATGTTGCGTATTCCGAAAACCATCGAAAAAAAATGTAACAACCTCTGTGTCCACGACTGTACATAGCGCTGCATTAAGTCTGTGTGTGACAGATTTCCTAACTTCAATAGTCGTCAACTTTAACGCTTAATATCTGTTAATATCTCGGTTCGCGGGATCGACCGCCACGTTTTTCCGTCGGATTCTTTCGTTTTGAGTGAAAACGCTTCGAATGAGCCTAATTTCCAATTAAAATCGGAGGTGAGGTAACTACTTTAAATAATTACCTTTATTTATCTTTAAAAAATGATACGTTTCAAAATAGGGAAGCATCAGGTAACGCCGGTGGTGACCACCGAGGATACGAAGAAGTCAAAATCATCGACCATTGTTAAAATCCCCGAGGACGAGAACGGTCGCGTGAACTGGCAGACGCGCGATGGCAGCAGGAATCATCCGGTACACGACCGCAGGACATCCGGGACGATCGTGAACTTCGCGGTGATCAGGAGCTAAGGGAGCACGCGCAGAATTTCGAGAATGGCCGTGCTTTGCGTGATTCGCAACAGTTGCAACGGTATCGAGAGATCGAGGTGCCACGTGCCATCCTGCACGACCCTGATCGCAGGATCGACGAGTCCAGGATAATGTACAAGAGCCGTGACATCTATCAGCGGCCGGTCGACGAAATCGATACACCGCGATTCCCGACGGAGTACGAAAAGGGAGACCCAGTCTTTGCGAGAATCGTCAATCCAAGCGTAAAGATCATGAAGGTCGAACGAGACGTCGAGGAGGAACTCGACAACTACAACAGGTGATTTCTTGCGTCCGGAGACCCATCGTGTCCTTGGTTCGGAAACTTCATTTAAGCGTCGGCAATGTCTACGCGTTAGCCATCTTGGATCACGCTGTCAGAACCACGAAAACGATTCTTGTCGCTCGTAGAAATAATTTTCAATTATTTTTTTTACAAATGGAGAACGCATTCAAGGCTATCCTAGTGAACATTTTTCTTAGAATTCTTTATATAATTTTTTTATAATATAATAATTTTATAACTTTTTGTAATTACGTCGAAATGAAGAATCACATTGCACTTGTTATACGGACGTGAATCGTCAGAATCGTTCGCTTCCTTGTTTCCGACGTTATGATTCAAGATGTATGACGCACGGATGAGTGTCAGTAATTAAATATAATTTTGTTTGAACGACGAGCAGATATTCGGACAACAGCCAATACGACAACGTACCCGTCAGAATGCGCGCGCGCGGCTCATCTGGAATCCTGAGAAGTCATCATCGCGATGTGTCCTTCAACGTACCACCTCCGCCTAAGGATTATCGATCTAGAAGATCCAAGGATGATATTGAGATGCTGGAGGAATATTTCGGTGTATTGAAAACCACCGGCACGCAAACTGCAAGGGCACCACCGTATTCGCCGACCGATCCAGGATACGTCCGGCATACTGCAAGTAACTGGCCGCAAGACGTTAAGTCGAGCACACCGAAATCTAGCCCGGAACACTCTAAAATTTAATCCTTTCATGCACCCGCGGACACTTCGGTCTTTTTTCTAATTAAAAATTTATTGACCAAGTCTAGTAAGAAATTAAGAATATTAATTTTTCTCTCTAATTAGTAAAATTAATAATTAAAACTTTTCAAATGGTTTTTCTTCGCTAATCTTACAAATATCTATATTTGCTATCTCTGTAATTTGTGAATTTTATTTTCACAAATAATTTAGCCATGAAAGGACTAAAGCAAGATATAACAATCGTTGACAGGGTGTTTACTGAAATTTTAAATGTTAAAAAATTCCCTGATAATTTCTGGACTGTTTTCAGATATTTTTATTCAACATTCCCCAGGAAAGATTAGAGAATTTTTTAATGTAACTTTGAAATAAATTCGAATGCAAAAAACGTAAACAAACTATATAATGTAGAAGATAAGATTTCCTCATGAGTTTGTGTATGTATGTATCCGTTTTCTACAATTAAAAATGCAAAATCTATAAGATAAATGTAGGGAAGGCTCACTGCAGTGAGCTACTTTTTCCTGCTGTATATTTTCTTTTATTGTCGTCCTGATTTTTTAAAATAAAAACACGAGAACGTACGTAATGTATGCCATACTTATCGCTAACCGATTGTCGGCATTTTGTATCACTAAAAGAAATAATGAAAGAAATAATGTTTTCAAAAAGAAACAGAATTTAAGTTTAAAAGTGTGAATATCCAAGGATTTCCCTGATTACCAACAAAATTCTATGAAAATCCCTGCTTTTCAAAGATGAAAGGGAAATTCCCTGAAAATTCCTTGAAACAGTTTTCCCAAGTAGTAAACACCCTGGTTGATATTATATATATTCTTCGATATTTTATCAAATTTTTATATACCTTATAGATATACAACAATCGTGAAACAAAATTTGTTAAGTCCAAAAACATTTATACTCTCAAACAAAAACCAAAGTGTTCTACATTTAAGTTAAAGTTGGATAGAAACTTTCCTACATATTATACTTAGGGAGCGTTTATATTGGCCATAACAAAAGGTTGCAACACTTTTTCGATGGTTTTCTTCGGAATGTGTAAAAATTTTGGGGAAGCAAATGACCATCTCTGAATGCATGTGAGCGATCATGAGGCCGTATATTACTGCCAGTTGTCAGTACAGTACGGCTGCTTTCCTTTTAGGAGACGCAGTCGATACAAGTCGATACAAGTGTCGTTCTATCTTTGTCACTCTCTAAATGTCAAGAAGGATAGAATGACGCTTGTGTCGACTTGTGTCGATTTGTGTCATCAAATGGAAAGCAGTTAATAGTATATGTAACGGGAACTATAGATTTTCAGGCACTGACAGTCAACTGGCAATAGTATACGAACATGGCCATAACTTTTGCGTATCGTAAATTATAAAAAAAAAGTGTTGCAACCTTTTAATATGTACATAACACGAGATTCACTTAATTCGACTCAAACGTAAATTTTAGACAATAAAGCAGTGAATTTTGGACTTAATTATTATGTACCAGGCACACGTGCTGGATGCCACGATGCATTTATACTTAAATATAGTTAATATATAAATGTATATAAATAAATATTAGGACAGCTATCCGTATCACAGGACTGCGATAATTTCGGAACTTCATAAGTGTCTTTCGGTTGCTTTCATTATAGTTCATACATCCATTGTATCCGCTATCTTTAAGAGTTTAAGAATTTTGAGAGTTTACTTCGCAGACCTGTGCGATAGTTGGGATTGCGAGATAAAAATCGGAAAGGAATAATACATCTTTTTTACACGTAAAAATTTCAATATAAAGTTAATATTTTTGTTCACATCTCGTACTCCTATATGCATATACGTACAATTACTATTAATCTGATGATAACATATAATCGATGCGCATGGTTAGTCATCTGTTCAACACTCATCAGGGCGTGTGTCAATATTAGTGTTAATATTACACCGCCACGATGGATGTAACTTCTATTTGTGTTTATTCCTCTCTTGTCAATGTTTTCGTTTATGAACTTCTTAAAACATATAAATAAATGCTATACAAGTCCATCATTTCAAGTCATTCGATGTGGACAATTTAGATACTTTGAGCATTCGTTTTTCTTTACAATCCTTCCTTTCAGCGCATTCTGCAAATATCCCTGATGACGGATTAGCTGCAGCATCGTCCATTAGAACAAGGACCGGTACATTGGAACGGATTTATCCTACTTGGTACCCGATGTAGCTTGAGAATCTCAAAGTCGGTGTCTTACGCAGGCCACGTTAAGAACAATACCGTAATTTATGTTGGCTACACTCGCGGCGTTACACCTCACTACGTTACAGTACATTAATCGAAGACTTAACTTGATTACCATCTTGTAAATTGACTAATCCGGATCGGATATCGGTCGCGAAGGAAGAACGCCGCGTTACGAGGAAGCTTATCTCATGCCGAGCCCGATGCCGGCTCCACCTTGAGCATTGGACGTCCTTTGCTCCATAGTGATATACTGCCTGATGAGGCGAGAGATTTCATGGGCCTGCTCCGTCTGAAGTCTTGTGATACGCTGTTGCATCAAATTGCCGCACTTCATGTCGAGGTAGAGCGTGCCTTCTTCAGACTTGACCTTCCTAGTGGAGATCACTTCGGAGTAGGGATAATGATACAGTGTTTCCTGAAAGATGCAAAATGATTGAATTATACAAAGAGGAAGATGCCGTTACGTGAGAAAAGATGAGCATCTTAAAAACCAGAACTACTTACATGCGTGATTAGATCTATGAAATGCACTCCATGTCGATTGAGAGCGAGAATATGATCGGCGCCCTTTTCCTTGCCCTCGGGCACCCTCTTCACCGCGAAGAAACTTGACCCGAAAAGTGGCCACTTAGACAATATTTCTAAAGAAAAAGAAAACGCGTGTACATGTATATTTAATATATTTATCAACGACAATTATTATCATTTTCTTAAACGACAATTTTGTAAACTGTTATTGTTTAAGTTTTTATTTGTATATTAAAGATATTAAAGCAAATTTTGAGAAAGTGTAAAACATTTTTTATCGTTTATATGTTCGTGCGCAGTATAAGATAAACAATTTTTTCAATGTAAAAATAATTAGTGGGGGGGGGGGGGAATTTTATTAATTGTCCAATCAAAGAATGCTTTATTTGTAACATTAAGTGTATTGTAGCTTTATTCAAATAACCATAACAATGTTCTTTTAACAATAATATTCTTCGAATCCAATAACAATTATTGAATCTAAAAGAATTACTATTAAAAAACGCATGTAATTTGAATAAGTAATACTAATCATATCATCAATTTTCAAACTTTGGACTTATAATGTAAATCTCAGAATATTTTTCAAAATTTCTATATAATTCAAAAAATTAATTCAATATAATTTTATAAAATTTCTATATGCATTTCAAAATTTTTCAGAATTTCTATATATAATTTTTTGATTTCTCTCTCTCCATAAATTTAAAAGATAAAAGTTCTTAAAAATGTTATGAAAAATTATGAGAAATTTTTTAGTAGGATATTAGCTGTTACGTATGTCATTTGTCGCAATAAAATAAGTTAATAGAATAGTCTCGAGTCAACTCACCGAGTACTTGCGCCTTGCAAGTAGCCGCCGAAGAGTGCTGAACGTTGTTCCAGGCTTGCTGAACCATGTTCGACCATTGTTGCGGCCTGGGCTCTCTCAAGCTGAGCGCTGTTTTTGGCAACAGATATTTAATCTCCTTCGTCGCGGGTTCGTGCGTCATGTCGGCCGCTCTGTGCAATAGCGCCGCTATTTGCGCCATGTCATACTATAAAACACATGTGTCATTAATGGATCGTTTATTGTCGATCGAGCTCCAGGCAGATGTTACTCACAATTACTTCCTGAGGTAAATGTTCTCCAGGTAGAACTAGTAAAAGTCCTTCTAGATAATCGGGAGCAATTTGATTAAATACGACTTCTATATACAATGCTGCATCCAGCCGTAGAGGATAGTACCAAACAGATCTGAAAAGAGAGAGATTAAAAAAAAAAGATATTTTCAAGTCTCTAAGGGAGACATTTTTGAAAATTTCTACTTTTTGGACATAATTTTACGGCAACACAAAAATTATTCGTTATACTTATCAATTTATATCAAATTTCTATTGAAAATTTAATGCTTGTAGAGGGAATATTCTACGGTTCTGAATTGATAGTAACAGAATACACAAATCGTCATACCTGCAAAATATTAAGTAGAACACTTGGTGGTTTTTTTGGAGCTCCGTTGTTACGTCCAGGACGTACTCGTCTCTGGCCAACGGCATGGTGAACGCGTCGCCGTCGACGATGCAGTACAGCGAGAACTCGTCCATCTCGTGTGGGTTTCTTACGGAGATGACGTTGCACATCTCCTCAATAACATCCTGCACGACAGTCGTGCATTTCGTGTTAATGACCCGCTCGGTGCCTCCAGGCAGCCGGTAGATTTGCCTCTTCGCGTTCCTGCCCGCGCTAATCGCCATGATCTCCTCCACGCTGGGCACGTTCTTGCGCCCGCCGTACTTGACGGTTTTTCGCAGGTTCTGCAGGCATACCATCGCGGTACCGTGGTAAGCGCGACGCTTATCGTACGCCGCCGTTTCAAGGTACTTTGTCAGGTAGGGTCGGAGGCCCTCACTGCACGTGAAGTAGGCGGCGATGATGCTGAAGATCCGCCAACCACGCTGGCAGCTCTCTGGATTCGGGCTCTTGTTATTGGTAGTCTGTTTCATCAGCTGGCAATAAACCTCGTCACGCAACTGCTCGTATTTATGACAATGCTGTGGACATCGCATAAAGATATGGATACGGTTTCGTTGGGAAAACCACGTCCTTCAACACGAAGGAAAGAATAGATCGCTAAAATTAGCGCGAGAAGACAAAGATAATGACGAATAATAACAGATAATTGTCAAGTTCCGTTTCTTGCCAGGGATTTCGAAGGTAAATCCATGAAGAAACAGCAGTGTATGTAAAAATGACTCAGAAAAATACAGAATACTTTTCGTTTTCTATGCACGTTTCTAGAAGACGGCAATTAAAATCAGAAATAATTCTATAGTATTGTAAATCGAATCTAAGTCAATATAAGCTCTTAGCAAGTCAATACTCTATGCAATAACACAATTCTTTATGTGTTTTCACTGTCTTTCAATTTAATTCGCTAAGAAGATTCTTAAAGCCAGAAACACAGAAAAATGTAAGACAGTAAGCAATAATATCACAATAGCGAATGGAAGGCAATGATGTTTGCATTCTCTGATTAGCCGAATTGCTTATTGCTTGCGTCTCACTGCCTTATATTTTTCTATGTGTTTCTGGTTTTAGTCTTTTCACATAATATAAAAATTTAATCAAATTTTAAGAATAAGTTCATGATTAGTATAGGCATCGCCTTAAATTTTTCTAACCATATAATTTTCTGTAAATAAACATTACTACGAGAAAATCGACTGAAAAATATTCAACACAAATAAGCAAAGAAAACCGTATTCGGTCAAAGCGTATCTTTTTTTGATGCCTAATAATAATTTTATGTGAATTTTACAACTTCCAGTTTAAGCAAACTGTGCGCCGATTATTATTTGTTGGTCTTGAAATACAGTCCTAAACTAAACCTAGAATATGTAAATAATATGTAAAATGTAATATCATAAGGAAATTAACAAGGAATTTAATATTACTCGAGTATCTTTAAAATATTGTAGGGAATTTATTGTAAGAAATATCATACCTCAGCTGGGAATGCCGGGAATGGTTATATTTAAGTGATATAACACAATATGACTTATGACCTCAATATTGATTAATCGACGTCATGAAAGATCAGCATTTCCAATTACTTTCTTTTCCATATTGTATTTTATCTATTATTTATTATTTAAAAAAATAGCAACGACTAAAAACTCCTGTGTTAAAAAATACGTCACGTGTGACTCCCTTCTACTTTTTTTTTAAGCCGGAGAACTTGATAAGTATTTCTATAATAATATTCTCCAAAACTAATTTCGAGCTTTAGATATTTACTCAGGTCTCTCATCAGTCAACATCCGAAAATAAAATAGAAATAATTTTGATTTAGCTCAAAGTGAAAGGGCTACTGTACACAAATTTTAAGCAGGATGTAAGCAGTAAGAAAATCAACATTTTTTTATTTGATTACTGTTACTGCTTACGTTACCGTCTTACGTTTTCTGTACTCGTATGCCATGACCCTATTCTTACCATAAGGACGGTGTAGACGCACTTGACTTCACTGGTCTCAGGCGGCAATGGTTGGTCCCCCATGTACCTCATCAGACACAGAAAGCATTCAACGGCTAAAATACTCAGATCAGCATCCAGCCTGAGCAGACTCTGCTCGATAGGAACGGTGGAGTATTTGACGAGATCCACTTGTTCCTTCCAGGTCCATTCGGTGCCATCTTGTTGCCCTTTACTCTTCTTGTTTTTCTTCTTGCTCTTCAACGACTCGATCACCTTAAGGGATCCGCTGATCGATCCATCCGCGGTCTTTAACATCTCGAATCTGTCAGATGCACACGACACGTTCGTTAAATTCGCTCGCTCACTTACATCGCGCGCGGACAAGACTGGACAAGATCGTCGGTTCCTCGGTACGAATACGTAACCAGAAATGACACACTCCGAAAAGGAGACACCGCGGTGCACGGTCGAAATAATATCGCGCGGCGGTATGCTTTCTCAACACGATCCGCTTGCGTAACACCATTAATAGTTGTTTCGCATTAATTTCCATACGATCGAGTTTACGCATGCATTCGGTACTGAGCAGAATTTAGAAAGGAGAGAACACATTTTAAATTGGATGTCTCATCTCGTCGCGATTTCTCGATACTAGACAGATCTTTATCATTTTTCTTTTAATTAACAATGAGTAACAGACAGATATGACTTTTAGAATTGTTCAGCAGTTTAAATTGCAATCTTTGAATTGATCTTGATTCCTTCGAAATCCGCACATTCTCCACCGCTTTGCAAACATATATGCGCTGCGTGAATTATATCGGGAATATTGACTCACTTTTCTGTGTTTTGACGGAAATTGAGCATGGCGTACTGCAAGAGCGAATGTTTGCCGTCGTTCGATACCACCGGTCCGCTCTCGTAGATGCCGTCGTCCTGGAGTCGAATATTCTCATCCGGTTGCCGCCACTCCTGGCTCGGGCTCAATCGCTGGTTTTGTAGATTTTTCTGATGGTTCGCTTGGTTGACGGCCGACACGTGATTGGGCACGCGACCGATCGGTACGTGATTCTCATGCTCGGAAATTACGTGATTGGAATGATTGTGGAGCTGACTGTGATTCGTGTGATTTGCTTGCGACTGAATCGTCTTAGTAATTTGGGACACGTGATTCTCGTGATGATTGATCCTCTGCAGATGTGGTTTCTGATCGATCTGCAAAACAAACAATCAATCCACACATTGATCGTTGAACGATTCGACATCTTTGAATTATTAATTATTTTGAGAAAAACGCAGTCACTGGTGATTACGCGATTATAATTGACAATTACTTTTCAATTACAACAAAGCAATCGGTGACTGCTTTGCTCTGATTGGTTGAAAAGTAATCACCAATCGTACAATCACTAGTGCAATCACTAGTACGGCGTAAGATCCTGAAATATCCCGTATATTATCTACGTTTACACTCATCGCTTCTCTTATAAATATCCGATGTTAGCAACAGATAGTTTTTTAAGAGTCTACAGGGATGCGATTCAAGCATTTTACATTGCTCGCGGCGCATCGGGTAATCGCGAGAAGCAATCTCATTTACGAGCTAGCAAGCGAATTCATTCTTCGCGCGCATCTCTATTTCTCTGTTTCCGCGCCGCTCGCATTTCCTCTTTTCCCCGATGATACGGTACGATACGAAACGCGATCGATCTTAACACGCAAGTAAACGAGTTCTCCCCGCCGCGCCGCGCCGTACCGATCGTGTATCGCAATCTGGTACAGGAATGCGGTATGACACGACTATCAGGTGTAGGCGTTTTCTTCTTTTCAGGTCCTCGACGCGCAAAGAGATGGAAAAAGCAAGGAGGCGTGTGATGCCTATGTAAATTAACTGCGACTTCCGGGTTGTGCATGATTTCTCGGGCATAACCGCCCGCATAATCGTCGAGCGGATACCGAACGCTTCGGCGAAAGAGGCATCAGGTCATTCTTTTTAGCTCCTCTCTGCTTTCGTTGATTACGAAGATATACGACGGAAAGTAGGTGATTGCATCCTGGGTTTCTTAATATCCTCATGTGTACCTACAAGCCGAGGATGGCTTCTTCGATATCTGGTAGAAACCCGATGCTTCGCATGTTACACAAAGTTTCTCCCTCTCTCTCTCTCTCTCTGTCTTTTTCTAGTAGGAAGAAAAGATCGATCATGATCGCTAACGGATGTCGAATGAAAATGGTACATTAATGTGATAGCTAACAGGTAGAGCTACTCGTATCAATCTATATAAAAGAAAATGAGGAAATATCGATATTAGATGACTTTTGCAAGAGAAATCCAGAATAGGAAGAATAGAACCGGGGATAAAGCCGGACAGTTAATAAACTTGATAAGAGCTCGTATAAAAACTTGAAATGTGCTAATTCTTTGTGACACACATTGCAACGGTTTATGCGAAAACAAGCAGGTAACCAATTCAATAATCGTTCAATTTTATGTCGTATTTTTCTCTAAACACAGGTTGTGTTCCAAAATTCACTGTCAGCGGTAAAAATCTGTAGTTTACGTTACATGCATTATAAATTTTCAACACTGGCAGGAAATTTTGGAACACAGCATTGGAAAAATGATTTTCGTATCTGGACACAGATACGAAAATAATTTTGTTGGAAACTCAAACTGTAAATTTTTTCACAAAAAACACAACAGTGAATATTTAAATGTATTCTTCTCGCAAAATATTAAAAAAGAAAAAATATTATTATAATATAAACTCAAGTATCAAAATTTTTTGTAGTATTGCTCATCATTTTTTAGTTTCCAATCCGACAAAATTATTTTCAGGTCTAGCAAAATTTTGATTTTTTCAGCAAAATCATTCGTTCTATGCAAGAATAAAGTAGAGGGAATTCATTATTGACGGAATGTTGGAAGATCGCGATTTCAAGCAGAGGTATAATGGTCGCACGATGACACCGAGTATATCGATACTTTGAAATCGGCGAGAATGCGCGAGTGGGATAAGCAGACGTCGACCCTGACCTACATAATCGTTTAATGCACCGAGGCACGACGTAAGACGTGGATGCGGTCGCTGCGCGTTCAAGTAAGCCATATTGCGACAGATAATAAGCGCAACGGTCTAATGATTTCCGCGGCGACTACTGTTATTATCGAGGCATAACTGTGACGTAAAGAGGTGCGAAGTACGATGCAAGCGGCGGGGTTTAGGTAGGCGAAGAAGTACATTCAAGACAAATACCTATTGCGAAAACGGACTATGTATTACACGACGACAATCGGGAAGTTGTTGAAACTATTATAAGTAGATGTTATTTTCTAACGAGTGGACAGAGAGAAAATAAATTAAACATTGCCCTGCGAAAGACACTCGTCATTTTTATTAGTATATAAATTACTGCGGAAAGAATGTATATTTATATAAATTTGCAAAAATAAACATTTTGAAAATCCACATAAATGATCATTTCTGAAAGAAATTTATTTTTTGAAAGGAATTTTTCAAAGGCAGTAATATTAAAATAATTAATAACTGCTTTTCCTCATAGTTAAATAAGAAAACAGTTCAAGACATTCTAAGATGTTTATTAGAAATTCATGCGAGTTGCCTCTTAGCTCGAGAAAAGTCAAGTACCGTTACATCGCCTGATTAATGTAAGTTTTTTTTACTTATACCTCACTGCACACACCTGAGCCTATTAACTATAATATGTGAGACATTCGCGCTCCATTTGACTTCATTTAACAGTCTATTCGATTCAATTTATCCCGCGTGTTGGAGTTTTGAACGCTCAGATTCTTAAGATTAAGATAATAATAAACGTGACAAATATGGAATATGCGACCTGATAGCTCTTGACTTTCTCGTCTAATTTCTTCAAGGTCTCCTGTATGGTATTGAGCGTCTTGTCGCTCGTTTTGTCTTCATTCTGCATTTCGTCGTTGCACGTTGTCGTTGCATCGGTTTGCGTCCTGAGCTCCTCGAATCTCTTCAATATTTCTCGGACGCTCAGCTTGTTGCTGTCCGCGTTTTCCTCAGTGATAGTCTCCATCTTCGCTACCTTGCGTTCACCGTTAGTCCGCACGATGATCTGCTCGCCGTCGTAGAACTCCTGAATCAAATTATCGTTCGTCTTTGGTTGTCCCTCATCCTTCGACTTCTGCTGAACTGGCTTCTTTTCTTGAATATTTTTCAAGGCTGCCATATTCTTGGAATTTCTCAGTTCGCAACCTTCCTCGAGCCTGAGTTGCTCAATAGTCGGCTGATGATCGTTCCCTCGCATGACTGGATGCAGGAAAGTTTTCTGGTCCAACTTGGACACGTCTATTCTAGGAATGTTTTCGTATTCGAACTTTTGTTGGCCAAAGGATTCCTTCTTGAAGGATTCCGAGGTTTGTTTAATGTTCTTGTTTACGTCCAAGTGTTCAGAGTCTAGCTTTTTTCTTTCTCTACTGCCGTCTTTCGCGAAGAATTTGATGAAACAGTTTTTCTTTCCTTTGCATTGTCGGTCGGAATGAGATGCCTGTTCCAGAAACGCACCAGAATCATCGGTGTACCCGTACTCATCGCTGCTCAATTCAGACTCGGAAGACTTCACCAGAAGACTATCGGGAGAGTTTGTCTTGCGGTCGTCATCGGAGAGATTCCTGCCTATAAAGTTACCTTTCTTCCGATAAGGTACTTTTGTGTCTTGAATCTTTTCATAGTGCCTACAATAATCTTCATCTAAATGACCGAATGGACTCTCGGGCGTTGGCCTGCGTTCCCTCGGATCCTTTCGAGGATCCAAGACATCTTTTTGGGCAAGATCGCCAAACTCGAATTTGCGCAAGAATTCGGAACGACGTACGATTCGCTGCACGTTGCTGAAAGACTTTGGTTCAAACTTGTGAAATTCATTCTCCGAAGACTCGGAGTAATCGGTGAACTGATTCAGGATATCCGGACGATGTTTCTGCCGACGTCTCAACGTCGTCGGCAACTCGGCCCAGTTGCTGAGTAGTCTCCTGGAGAACACTCCTTCGGTATCGGATACTTCTCTCTCCATGATAAAGTTAGGAGATAGACTTTTAACGGAAGGCATGTGTTGATGTTTAGAAAGTGTTGATGTCTACAACGGTCGCTACGACTCGTATGGTGCGTTGGTCGATGCTATTCGACTAGTGAATTCTGTGCAAAGCTTTTCTAACTCCAAACAATCGTAATTTCACTCGGATCTTCCAAAGGATGTAGATCACGGATGAAGGACCGTCCGCGGAACATTGTGAGAAAACGCCCGGAAGAAGACTCTCGTGAGATCCGGCTGAACAATACGCACTTTTAATTATAATTGCCTCGCGTCAGTAGGCTCTCCCCTGCTACAACGGGCGAGAAAGCTTTCATGCTTTCTTGGAATCGTCACGTTGATCGCGTCGTCGGCTGCTCGAATTTTAACGAAGGTCTGTTCGCAAATTTCACTTATATGTCTGAAATATACTAATATGTCTATACTCGTCTCAAGTTTCGCTCGAAGAAGCGACACTTGCGGAATGATAACGAGGTAATAGATTTTACTTCTTTTTCTTCTTCTTCTTCTTCTCTAAAAATTGGTCCTGTCTCGCACTCGAAGACGATGCTCAGTAACAATTCTTTCCTTCCAATCTTCCACAGGTAAATTGAATAAACATTATTAAATAAACACAGAACTTTGTTAAAAGTGATTACAAAAGGCGATTAGATTCGTCAGACATTTTCAAAAATTTTAATGTCCGTATTTGGCGACTTATCCGATGCAACTCAGATTTTTATTGATGAATGACGGTCGTGTCGCACGATTACTATTGGATCTTAACCGTGGAGAAAGAAATAACAGACAGTCGATGATGATCTCGCTTGCGCAAGTGCGGGCCCTTCCGACCTTACTCGCGCAAGATCGTTAGCGATCGTGCGATCACCGTCGCGTTCCGTTTATCATTACTCACCGCCGTTCTTACGCCGCTGTTTTTACACGGAGCGTGAAAGGCACAGGATTCATCCGCGGTAGAATAATCGCTGCTGATTAACTATATATTCGAAGCGGAGAGCCGTGCATTAACGATCGGCAGACATTACCATTATATTAACCTTGCCGGGTGCTGCGAATTATACAGCTGCGTGACGTCGAGTCGAAAGTCTCTCGACGAACGGCATCATCATCAAGTCGTTTTTCACTATGAGAGT